GGACTCAATTTGCACTATTTCTGGCAGTCTGCAAAGGCCCTAAAAAGACAGAAGTTAGTAGCATGAGCTTTCATAAACTTGACCCTACTTCCTCAGATGCATTTGGTGGAGTAGAAAGCCCAAGGGCAGACTTGGGGCCTTTGCAGACTGCCAGAAATAGTGCACATTAAATTGAGGCACTGCCCTGGCTCAGTGCTAGGGAATCATGGGAACTGTAGTTTATTGTGGCACCAGAGCTCTCTGACAGAGAAGGCTCAATGTCTCAGAAAAAAATGCAATTCCCATGATTCCCTAGCACTGAGCCAGGGCAGTGCCTCAATTTAATGTGCACTATTTCTGGCAGTCTGCAAAGGCCTTTATATAGCCATCTGTGCGTGGGAATGACCATAGGAATGCAAAACATACACATTCATATGGTTATCTACTAACCTTGGCTTTAAGTAACATCCTTGCCTTGCCCCCCACAAAGTATTGCATTTTTATGGACTTGGTCACACAAAGACTGCTATACAGATCTGTCCCTGGGCTAAAAAAGATACCAAGTATGCATATTCAGCCAGATTCAAAAATGCCATTTTTGCTTTCTTTGGTGGTTATGCCAGAGGTCAAAGTAATCTAATCACAAGCTTCATCTAATGTGTGAACATGTATAATTAGCTTTCTCTGCTTAAATGCATGAAAATGTTTCCTAAAATGTTGCTGTGTGGCTTCAAGACTTTTCCAATTTATGGCGACCCTAAGGCATAACCCTATCATGGGGTTTTCTTGGCAAGATTTGTTCAGAGGAGCAATGGTGCCACTAGGAGGGTGCAAACTGCACCAGGTGACACCCTAAAGGGGGAGTGACACCACTTCTCCTCAAACACCTACCTTTTGCCAGAAATGGGCTGTGGCTTTCATCTGCTTCCCTTTAAAATGCTTTAAGAGATAGTGGGAGCGGCGTGAAGCTCAATGGGAGGAGAAAGGAGAGGCCCCCAGAATTTTTTTTTAATTAAAATTTAAAATTTCAAAATTTTAATTTAAAAAAAATGAATTTTGATTTTCTTAAATATTCTTTTAAATTTTTCTTTAAAAACAACACAGTTTAACCAAATCTTCACTATGTATATGTAAATATATTTAGATTGTGCATATGATATTGTAATTTGAAGGTATAATTTTAATTTTGCTAGTTCCTTGTATCACAACTATTACCATTGTGATACATTGTGAAACCGACATACAAAAGAACCCGAATGATGCTGCATTCCGAGCAGTTTCTTGTTGGATTCTGAGCGACATCGTGTGATCACCCGGAAAACTATAGCGCTATAGCGCCTGATTCTTAGCAGATTCTGAGCGACGTCGTGTGATCACCCGGGAATGTATAGCGCTATAGCGTCTGATTCTTAGTGGATTCTTGCTGCTTTTGGCCCCGTGGGATAAGGTCCTAGGAATCTGTGGATCCCCCAGCATGACCTTTGGCAGAATTTGACAACAGAGTCACAATGGAGGACCTAGAGATTCCTAGAGAGAACACATTAATCAAATCCATCAATAATCAACTCCACAAATGTCAAAACTGCAAACGTGGAGGGCTCACTGTACTGAGTGTTGGTTTAGTTACTTTTAAATTATGGTTTTAAAATTGTTTAAAAATACAAAAATGGGGCCAGATCTCCCCCATATGCTCAAATATGCTCAA